GGACCTGCCGCACCGCCGCCATTACCGTCGGTTCTAGGGCCTGGTTCGGCGGTCGACTGGGCATCCTCTGCCTCCTTCCTCTCTCGGGCGAGGCGGTCGATTCTGGCATTTCTCCTCTGCCTCTCGATATCGGAGTCGTAGTCGGAGATTTCGGACTGGTAGGCAGCCCAGGCTCTTCTTCTTGCCTCCAAATCGGTTCCCGCTCCGGTATATCGGACGGCGGCTGCTCGTATTCTGTTCTCGATTTCGGCGGGGGTGGCGTCTGGCTCCAGGGGTAAGTCCCACCAGCCATTGGGTCCTTGGAGAGCGTCCTCCTCGGCTCGGCGGATGCGTGTATCATGCGCTCTTCCGTGCTCCATTCGGGCCTCGATTTCTGGGGACTCCCGGGCAGCTCGAGGGAGTCCGAGGGACTCGACGTACGTGTGGTATAATAGTGGCCATGGGCGCTGCGAGAGAGGGACTGGGTCGGCGAAGGCTCTCGACGGGACTGACGACTCCCAGTTGGAGACTCCGGCGAGGCGCTCGGAAACGGTAATTGTTCCAAGTTCCTCGGCGTCATACTCTGGGAACTCGCCCCAAAGCTCCCCACTCGTCGGCTCGTGCGAGGGGACGGTGGGAGCGAGCGCTGGGGTCGCGGGCCTTTCAGCGACCTGGTCGGACTCTCCTCTGGTCTCGCCTCCGGCCACATGAGCTTCTTCCCTGGGCTCGTCGGCGTATACCCAGCTGGTGGTGGGATGCCAGCCGACTGGGGTCCCGCGATCGGTCAGCCAGGAGCCTGAAACAAGGTGTGGGCTTGTTGGACGGGTGGTTGCGGCGGAGGCTCCGAGGCTGAGCTCTTCGGAGTCATCGTCGAAGTCGTCTCTACGCCCCCTGTTGGCCTCGTAACGGGCTCGATCTCTGGCGATATCGGCCGCGACCCTCCTATCTCGGGCCTCTTCCCACCTGTTGTTGATTCCTGCTGCGACTTCTGTTGCTGGTCTCCCTGTCCCCCACTCGACCTCCGTGTACCGGTGCTGGGAGCGCCCGCTCCAATTATCTCCGGTATAGGCTGCATCTTCCTCCTCGTTCGGATAGAGGTCGCGGAGGAGGTCTTCGAGTCGGACTCTTTCGAGCTCGGAGAGCTCGTCGCCTTCGTACTCGGTGTCAGGGCTTTCCTCGCCCGTGACCAGAGGCCTGGTGTCTTGTCTTCGGGCTCCGTCGGCGCTTGACTCGCCCTCGACTGGAGAGATGTCGAAGAGGCCTGGTAGGGGCGAGTCTCCTCTGTGGAGGAGTACCCCCCTGGTATCGGTGATGTCGACGGAAGCGTCAGACTCGGTGGCACTTCTGTAGGAGTCGGTGCTCGACTCTGAGGATTCCGAGTTGGATCGCGACGAGGTGTAGAGGGACTCTCCAGGTCCTCTGGGTGTGATGGGTCGGCCATCGTGAAGGGTTTGTGCTGAAGCCGCGGGGATGAAGATTATGGGCGGCGGATATGCTGGTGTTGCCGGAATGTAATGGAACGGGAGCTGGGCTCGTACACACCTTTGCTGGCGGCAGCACCGCTGAAGGTAGTACAAGGAGGTGAACAAGAAAAAGGTTATAAAAAGTGCGGAGACGATGGGAATGGCGTCGGATAAGGGCATCCGTGGGGGGCAGATGGTGTAGTGGTTACCTCTGCTTGCTCGATTGTACCTCGTTCCACACAGAAAATATGTATTTTCGCACTCGTGAGTTCGAGCCCCCCACCCCCCAGAAAGTAACACTCTAGACACTTTCCGGGTTCTACCACTTCCGATATCCAAATCACGTGAAACGCAGCCTCCCTTTCTAAAACATGATCAAGTCACGCACATTACCCCCTCTAAAATCACACGACAAATCTTATCTCTCCTTGCCATTCTGGGCATCGGTTCGAGGCCCTTCCAGTGATCTTTCGAATAAGACAGGGAAACGGAGTCGCGTGCCGCAAGGCTGCCGCCTGGTTGGGACCCAGGTGTAACAAAATGGAGTGGTGATCCAAGCACACCCTGGCCCGGCACATCGCCCCCCGCATCAATTGATCACACTGTGTTGGTGATCTTGGCCGAGTAAGGCAGGTCTGGGAAAGAGAGACCGGAGAAGGACTGGGATTGATGGAGTTTGGTGGGAAGTAGGACTAGGCCATGAGAAGGGTCTGGTGAAGAAACGACGGTGACGGATAGATTGCGGCCATTTCTCGGCAGAGGTCAGGATTTCCCAAAGTGGGAAAAGGTGGCAGTGCCCGAGTCGCACCAAGTTATCGAGGGCGAGAGATAATTTCGTGCCATAACATAAGTGCACAGCTTGTTAAGCTGACTTAATCGATGACATCATACACACAGCAACACAAGTAGCTAAATTGGACCATACGCATGCGTAACCAATATACTTAGGATTTTAAAAAAAAAAAAAAAAAAAAAAAAAAGGGCATCCGTCCGTTGGCTTATCTTTCGAGAGGGCCGGCGGTAAGGATGGACCATACGATGGTTAAGGCGATAATAGCTAGAGCGGCGAGGGTCGCGATAATCAGGTTGAGGTCGGTCTCATAGTTCGAGCCGGTCATCAACGGGATATCGTCGTCAAAGGATGGGTCAGTCAATGTCAACAGTATGACTGCTAACAATGATGCTGACTTGAGGGCTATAGGTAGTGGTTTCGTAGTGTCCTAGATCAGACGGGGATATATCACGTATAGAGCAGCTAGCAGGCTTGCTAGTAGCAGTGCCGAGATTCCGAGTCCGACGAGGGCGAAGGTAATGGCTACGGTGGTAACGACCGCAAGGAGCAGGTCGTCGTATAGGAAAAAGCGAATGATCTGGTCGAATACAACCAGTTGAACGAGTAGGCGTAAGGGGATTACCCAAAGGACTACTGCGACAAAGAAGTGTATCGGCCGAATGTTGGAAACGTGGAGGTTGGGCAACGGTAAGTTGTTGAGCAACCAAAGACGAGCTTCGGCTAAATGTTAGCCACTAACTCTTATCGACTTAGATCAACTAAGGATCGCCACTCGCACTTCGGTGGACAATACACTTAGAGGTCAAAGGCGACGGACAGAGCCAGGTGCGAGACAAATAGTCAAGAAGCAGGGAGCGTTAAGTTAGGTAGATTAAACCTTAGCCAAAGCTGGGGTTTAGACCAGCTGAGGCTCTACTTAAATACACGTTTCGTAGACTAAAAATAGTACTGTGAGAATGTCCGATCAGAACCGCAACATAGAGTAAGCATGAATATGTAAGGAAAAGAAAAGAAAAGAATAAACCGTAACAAATCTTCACCACGAGGGTGCTGCAGCACGTGTCCTTGCCACCCTCCTCAATCACATTGCCTTCATACGCCTAGTGGGATTTGCCTCCGGTACGCTATGAAACCTTTACTGCGTACCCGTTGCTCAGACTTCTTAGGCGCATTTGCCGCGTGGGCCCCGCCCCTCTTTCAATACTATGCCGAACACCTCAAGGCCCTTCTCCTCAGTGACGACAGCCTTATCCTCAACTTTGCCAACAGCATTTTCTGCGTGTGCACATTTAACTTTGGGCCCAAGACCGCTACCTTTGAACATACAGACTCGGGAAACCTACCCTTCGGTTGGTGCTCAGTAACAGCGCTCGGTCACTTCAACCCCAAGCAAGGCGGTCACCTAATCCTGTGGGACCTCAAGCTGGTAATTGAGTTCCCCCCCGGATCTACCATACTATTCCCATCCGCCATCCTCCGCCACTCCAACACACCCATCGGCTGTGGGGAAACAAGGTACTCATTCACGCAGTATATGTCGGGGGGGTTGTTTCGCTGGGTGGATCAGGGCCTTCAGTTGAGTGAGGACTACTGGAGCCAGCTCAGTGACGCGGAACATGATGCTGCCCTCAGAACTCGTGCTGGGCGATGGGCAATGGGTCTTGGTTTGTACGCCTCTATGCCTATACTTAGGAAGGGTAACGCATGAATGAATACATATATGTGTACCTGTAGCTTAAATCAAACGTAAACATAATACGATAGTGAATGAAACAATAATTTAAAACCAGGTACAAACTGTATATACTGGATTCGAGGCTTAAAGAAAACATCCCATTGAGTTTGATCTGTAAAAGAGTCCGTGACTTCACCATTAAGGTGGAGGGGTGTATTAGCGTCAACATCTACTATCAAACAATCAATTGAATGCCCTCAACGGCATCTTGATCTTGAAGTTCGATCACTCCAGTCTTGCGTGCCATGAGAACATAATTTCGCATTCCATCGTTCTCGACTCTGGTGTAACCTATTCAACTGGGAAATAGCATGTATAGTTCTTCATACAAGCTTTAAGATTTGTCACATGATTGTCAATTTTTGATATTTTACGTCTTGAACCTTCTTGAAATTCACAACAGTTCAGCGCTACGACTTTCAATACCTAGTACAATTGCTTGTCGCCTACACATATTAAATCATCCTATCCCTCAACTCATAAAATGCCAGAAACCATCTTTGTGAATGAGGGGATTCACAGGTCAGCGACCAAAAGACAAGCTCACGATATCTTTTAACGAAATGTTTAGGGAACAATTGCTCAGAATTGCTACTGCAGATCCTGATTGTGAATGGATGAAGCGCATTGACGCCAAACTGATCTTCATCAAAGTGTCAATGACAATGAACAGTGAATGGCCAAAGACTCGTCAGGAAGAAGGAGCTGGACTGTATGGAGGCGAGGTTGCTGAAAGAGTTTGGAGAAAGTGTGCCAGTTCTGAAATCGGAGTCGCCAAGGGTCTCGAAGAGATCTAGTCACAGCCTCATTATGGTTCCTGCAGTGGGACTCAGTTAATTTACATGTTTATCTCTTATTTGGCAGATCCTTAAGGCTTGATTCACAGAGATATGCACACAGTATGTATGATTTTCAAAGGTTTTATACTACACAAAACTATGCCGGCGGTTATTCAATGTCCAAAAAACTACGTATTTGATGCAGTAGCTACCCGGTCCTTCGTCTGACTTCTATGCCTGACTCATGGCAGTCACAAAGCTATTCTCGTCATCGCTAGACCAATCAAGGGTGCCCCACTCGTCCTCAATTGAAACGTCAAAGCGGGAGCTGGCGAGGGGGTGACGTGAACCTCGTCGTCATCATAGGCTTTGCGGTAAATGTCAACAGCATCGTAATAGTTTGCTCGCCACTCATACTTGTTTCCGGGAATGCCGATAACCTGCTCCGCCGTTTCATTCCTGATGCTCCGGTGAGCTAAAGATGCTAGGAAGGGAAAAATGAATGTACCAGGTAAAAAACAGGCCGACTTCCTGGCCCGAAGTAATGACATAGAAATTATTCTGAGGGGGCCAAACATTTCGGGGACGAGGAAGGTCTTCAGGCCTTGGGATACGATACACCGGGCGTTTAGCACGGGAAGGGGTTGTCATCGTCGTCGTCGCTGCAGGTGTAGAACCCGCAGTCGACGGGGCGGGGGTGGTAATGGTAATGCTGCTGGTCGTGCTAGGGGTCCCGACGGTCGCGGTGCTGGCTGCAGTTACCGGAGGAGGCGCCGCCGCTGGAAGGGTCGAGGTACCCCCAATAGTATTTGAGGCTGGAAGATGGAGTGTGTTAGAAGTTGTTGTCGTGGTCGTGGTCGACAAAGTAGCTAACATTTCCTCAGTCAAGTATCAATTACGAAGGAATACCACACGTACCACCACCTGCCGACAGGTTGAGGTTGGCAAGAGCAGCCATCAAAGCTGAAAAATCTGGAGAGGGGAGCAATGAAGCGTTGTTAGCATGAGAGCAGGAAAAGGGGAGAGGGCATGTACCAGAGGGTGTGACGCTGGATTGGGAGGGCACAGTGCGAGAGGCAGAGGCCATAGATGCCCTGGCAGTAGACCTGCAGGTTCGGGGTCTTTTTAAACATTCACGGACCAACGAGATATCCTGTTTAGGAGCTTCTAGTGACGATGGAGCGTTCAACATCTTTCTATTTCGATGTGTGGTGGTAATGAGCAAGGTAACCGGATAAAAACACACCTGCTACTTGTCTACCGGACGTTCCATTTCGATGTATCGCCTCAGTAAGAGAGGGATCCGGGCCAGAAAATGTGTGTGAACGGTCGACCGGGCTTTCCATATTTTCTATTTCGATAGGTGTTGTCAGTAAGCAAGGTGACCAGTCAAGTAACACTTGCCAATTGACGCCTAGGCTCCAGAAACCCATCAAAGAACCAGAAAAATTACATCGCCTCCATATTGAGTGAAATGCACGGCGAAATATTGTCAGTATAGACCCGTCAACTGATGCTTCAAAAAGGAAGTGTCAGTAGACAGCCCAGAAAAAAATTCCTTGCCTTACTGCCATTGACACGCTGAAAACACATTTGCTAGATAAAAAAAGTAAGTCTGAGGATCGCTGATGATTTAAAACGTGACAGCTGACCTTCTCGCTAGTATGGGCAATCCTGGCGTGTTCCAAGGTACCCGGTTCGACTTTTTGACGAGTGAGCTCCCTGGATATGGAGTGGCGGTAAAAGAGGACCGCGCCCGAGCCTATTGCATCAGTGTCTGCCGACGATACCACAAAAGATACCATCCCCTTCTGCCGCACAATGAAGAACCCACCGCTGAAGCCCTAGCATTGGTGAATGACGACGTCGCAGACCCCAAAATGCCTTTCCCCGATGCAGCCAAACTAAGCCCACAACAGTTCTTGAAGGCTATGGAGGATTATAAAACTTATCAGGATACCGTGAAGGCACGCAACTTTGTACGTCATGCCTATTTTTAAATTGCCCTAGTGCTAAGGTTTGATTTGTCAGCAAATCGAACGTTGGCTTTGATACCACCACAAAGAAGCAAACGCCATGGCCAAGGACGCCGATGATCCATACAACCACTTTCTCGCCCACTTCACTGGCCAATCGACTGCAAAACCCCGCCGGCGAACCCCATACAACCTTTGGTGCGAAATTCACGGCAAAAATATCGAACAGGAACTTGAGACGATGGTCAATCAGGGCGAGTTAACAGAAAAGCAGAAGCCAGGGAGGCGTCAGAAGATGCGAAGCGACCACTACCACGACCTTTCAGAGGAGGAACGGGATGAGTGGCTACAGAGGAGTGAGCAGGAGCATGCAACTGCTATGGAGGCATGGAGGGCTGGAGGGAACGGGAAGGTACCTGATGATCCCCTTGACATTCAGAAGTAAGTTTTCTAACTAGTTTCCGGTGCTCACTTCTTGACTATGCCCTCCAGATGCATAGACTGCCTTCCTGAATTCATACAGCCAATCATCGATATTGTGGCAGAGTGTATGAGGGGAAAGTTGGTGTTGCTATGGGGAGGGCCTGAACCTCGAGACGGTGGGCATCTCAATGTTGTCAGGTACGTTGTGTCCGTATCTGCTTGTTTTTCTTTCAAACGTTTGCTGCAGCATATGTTCGGGAACAACGCCGGGTCCCCGTGGCCAGAACTTTGTCAAAGAGGAGGCGAAGTTATATGACAAGCTTGTCGCACCAACATTTTCTAAGTTCTTAAGAAAATGCTACCGTAGGTTCAATATTTCATTACCCATCAACCCCTGCTGATGTCGATGATACAGGCCCCGACCAGTGTCAGGCCTTAGCTTTACCTGACGATGGGGGGCTGGGGGCTCTGGGTTTGATGCTAAGTGACTATGAAAATGCCTTCGTGCATCCGGCTGAAGGTGCGAACATTGTTGGGCACCATGATTCCTCCGATTCCTCCACCTCCTCTTCGTCGACGGTTACATCCACCAAACCCCCAAAGGCTCAGAAAAGAACCTTCGTCAAAGCGACCAAAGCAGCCAAAGCAGCTGAGCGACGCGGAAGACCCAGCGGCCTTCCCACCCTTTCTCAACTTCTAGCGTCGAAATTGATGACAGTGTTCAAGACCAGAATTCCAACACCAGCATTACAAACGGTGGTTACTCCTACTTTGCCATTGACGGACCCTCAAAATCCAGAAGCTCGGCAAGGCAATGTTTCATCCTCCCAGCCACAGATTATCCCTTCAGATGGGTCTAATTACACACCACCATCTGCTTCTCGCCCGCTGTCGCCTACCCCCTCATGTCCCGCGTCGCCTGCCCCCTCACATCCTGCGTCGCCTGCTCCATCTGCTCCATCGCGTGCTGCAACCCCCCCAGCTGCCTTGAAGCTGCCATTCCCGCCTCCCCCTCCTATTTCTCCACTGCCTCTGCCGCCATCTCCCTTTACCCCCCCAGCCAGCTTGAAGCCGAGTACGTTACCAGCTCAATCTCCCATCCCGCAGCCTGTAAGACCGGTACCCTCCGACAATGCCTCGGCAGCGAAGGATGCAGAAGTTGGTGTCGGCAGCGCTGTAGCCCTTATACACAGGTCGGACCCAATCCCACGTGATGCTCCCTTCGCTTCGACCCAACGCCTTCCAGGATTCCAGACTGGGCAACTGAGTCTCAGCAAGCGAACTGCTGAGGATTCTCTGGGTAGCGGTGTCATTCTTAAAAGAATGAAGACAGATGGAAGAGACGGTGGTAATCACAAGGGGAGCCTCATGACGAAAGTGGTAGAGGCGCCTGGAGGGACTGAGAAGGTTGTACCCCCCCTTATCAGCATCGTCTTCCTGTCTAGTGCACCCCTTTGGGCGGTGATGGTCTTGGAATTGTTCACGTCGCATGATTTTGGGCCCGACTGGACCCAAGTTGTCTACTCATGGGTGGTGTTTCAGTCTGCGAATGGTTTCGACAGCAGCGACAAATTACCTGCCAACTACCGCCCCGAGTGCGTAGGTCAATGGATTTCACGTGCACGACCGCAAAAGTGGTGACCCAGTTATGCAAATCTCGATCTTATCCAGAAATTTCAATCGCCCTTCTGGGCGTGGTGGGCAAATCTTCAGCCTGAAGGCCATGTGGGAGCATATGAGCACCCCATCGAGGATCTTGAACGTGAAGACAACGGACGCCCCATCCAAATTCATCCATCGACAGATATTAGTTGGGAGTGCCTCAAGACTTGCTCAGGGAGAAATGGTATGGTCAGCGTTGTGGCAGCGCTGTTTTTCTGGGCTGAGGGGGCCAAAGTTCTTCCTCTCACAACTCATCGTGAGAGGGCTAGATCCAGTGAAGCCCACAGGGAGCTGTATTTTGCTATGGGAGACGTTTGCTATGTGCTGCAGAGTTTGCTTGATTGAACCGCTTTTTTTTCTTATATCTTTCAATCCCGCATATATATATATCAAGTAGTAGTTTTTATGTAATACAATTGATTGAGCATGGGCCATCTCTGCCACGTGCTCTGAAAATTTTCCCCACATTGACTGATCCATGAAGTCCTCTTAGAGGCGGCACCTCATTCGCTCATTCACTCGATTGTTTGTGTTCTCCGCTGCGAGCAATCGCCACTACGTCTCCAACATCACCTCGCACAACAGCAACGACCAACATCGGCGACAAGCAGGGCACAATGATACTGTGATATGATCTCCATCGCCCATCGGCATGTACTACGATATGTGAACAATCCAGACTGAAATCGGCGGGCCCAGTGATGATGATGATGACGGTGTGGGTGAGTGGGCAGGGAAAATAATGCCGAAGGAATGTGATGGAGAATGTGGGATGGCCGTATCAAGGTGGGAAGGGCGAGTGGGGTGGAGGAAGGAGAAGGATGCTGGGCGGGAGGGTTCACAACAGGCTGGACACCGATGTTCGACGACGACGATGGCACTCAGAGCATGGAGGTTCAAATGACCCTGTAACGACTCCATCCCACTGCTAGTACTGTGGTGATTCCAACATGAGCTTTCCCTACACTGTATGCGCCGCCTACATTGCTATCGTGTTGCATCCTCCATTTTCCGTACTGGAGAGTACAATGCATTCACTATATCCTTTCCCAGCCGCCACCATCGCCACCACATGAGCTGACCCAACACCCTGCACCCCAAGCTGCACCTCTAGCCAATTACGGTGCCTCCCACTGGCATATGAACCACCCCCTTTTACAACAGGGAAGGCAATGGTGGTACTGTCATCATGTCCGCCACTGCTGCCAAATGAGGCCAACCCCACTGCCAGCTCTTATCCCTGTTGGACTACCATGCATTCCACGACAGCCACTTCGTTATCCCGCCCTTATTCCTGAGTGGTGGAAGTGAGGTGCGTTTGGCTGCCCCAGCACCCCATTGACATGCGTATACCCATCCATCAGCCCTCCCTCCACTATTCCCAGCAAGCGTTATGTTTCATGCGTCCGACGTCACCCTTCGAAATCTCTCCCTTGGTGCCAAATCCCATTCTCTTTGTTTCCGTTACACAAGCCCGCCCACCACTCATCGCCCCTCCTATATACATATTAATATATTTTTGCATTTTTAATATATATCTCATGATTTTAAATAATTTCACTCAGATAAATTAGTATTGACGGATTTGGTATGCGTCGCCCAAGAGGCAGGATTAGCTAAGTAGTTGTGGTGATCTGTGAAAAAAGAGGCTATATATACAGTAAGAATACTTATAATATTAACATTGGTATGGTGTAGTGGTTAGCATAACTATGATTAGTATTATATGATGCAATTTGGAATTATTTTGGAGGTCCCGAGTTCGACTCTCGGTCGGCCGGCTATTTTCTGATGATGTCATTTCATTCTGGCTGCTGTGCTTACTAAAGCCTCCTGTAGTATCTGCGTGATTCCCCTATATAGGTTCAGTGTAAACTGACGCTGTTGATGTATCACAATTAAGTGTCAACTAACACTGTTTAATGTATCAGAGTAGCAGCTACAGGTGGCGTCCTTGAGGGCAAGAACACTAAGGGGGGGATACTGTAACGAGCATGCCGACGGAAACCCGACTTCCACTCAACCCAACAAACCACAGCCCAGAATCCTACGGATCCCGATTCCCAGTTTCTATTTCATATTCCATTTCATATTCCTTTTTATATTTCACTTCTCCATTACAATTTATCAATAGCCCGACATCGGTAGCGAACATGTCATCGGACCCCATCAGCTACCGACCAGTAGAATACATCCTCCAACAACCCTAGAATGTAGACCACTCCAAGTAGGAACTAGATCGGACTCCTAACTAGTATATAAGCCTTAGAATTACACTGTAGATACTCAGTTCAAATATCAACTTGGTTCAGCCCAATCTCTCTCTCTCTGACTCTAAGTCTAACTCTCGTTCTCCAGTCCGCGGAACTCTGATCCGTTGGACTTATCTTTTACCTCGTCTCTACCATCCTGCGGACTTCCATCCATATCCATCTTAGGGCTTCGGCTCAGGGGTGACATTGCTAATAGCTTTGCCTACGCCCAATGCATCCTGTGGCATTCCGCTACGTGCACTTACTGCCACAATCCTATTGGCACGATCCTAACAGATACAGAAATTCGACCTGCAATGCCAAGATCTCGATATCGTCTCTTCATATTCTCCTTTTGATACATTAAGGTGTCTGAATACTGTAAGGCACTGAAGCTCACCTGGTTTGTAATTAGTGGATATCCTTTGCAGCTGACCGATCGCTCTCTCAAACAGGAATGCCCACCATCCCTGAGCTGGTCCATATAATGCCAGGTATTCCTCTATATGCATTGACATATGATGATTGGGATGACACTCGTAAGAGGGAAATAGTGACTGGAGACATGAGTGATAGGCCATCATGTGCTTGGTGTAGATTTGCCCATGTTCTGCCGACGTTTTGTACAATGTAGCCACAATAACAGTGCTGACAAGGTCCATAGTGAGCTTTAATAGCTCCTGTTTTTGTGGAGAGGCATTTGACCACATCGGAATGAGTGACAATGGTATAAATGTGAGTCTTAACACCCACCATTGATCAGCCTTCAATTTACCATCACTCTCGTTTCCTCCAACTTTAGCTGGAACAGAAGTAAGCCAGGACAGCTTGATCATATTGCCTAGATCTCTCCAGAAGGTCTCCATCTCATCTTTGGTAGTGACGCTTCCAGGGTGGTAACCTAAAGTGGGCTTGGGTGGCTGAGCCACTTCTGGCTGTTTTTCACGCTGTGAAATGACAAGAGTTAGTGTAAAAAGGACAGGTGTCAACAACAAATACTTATCCAAGCCAGAATTTTCAGTACCAACATTTCTTTGGGCATGAACAGTGGATTGTCACTGTTCCTGGCAGATATAGCGGACTTCACATTAGATCGGTCAGCCTGGTGCGCATGCCATTCCGCCTGTCTTTTAGTCACATCAAGATCAAGGCAGTTAAGCGACCATGCAACATGGTAAAGGGCAGGTTGGTGCTTTCTGAGGAGAGCTCCTTGCAGCACAAGATGCTCTGTAGGGTCCAAGTGTAGCAACTGGAGGGACAACGGGTGCTCGAGCATAGATATTATATCTGTCAGAGAATTTTGAACGTTTTTGAGGTTTAGATTCTTCCTCTGGGCTAAGGCAGCATCGATGATGTCGGATGGGATAGTGGTGGGAATATCTATGGCAACCACCTTCAAGTTCTTCAAGTTCTTCTGCTTCTTAGTGGCGACCTCATATGGCTTGTTTTTCTGAACCCGAAAGCCAAGAATCCTGTGAAAGTGCTCCTTGATAACTCCGAGAAAGAGATTGTGCATGCAATCCATGACAATCATGCATGAGAGATCAAAATAAGGTAGAAGTAAGAGGCAGGTCCATCGTTGTCCAGATTTCTTGAAAAATTTATCTGCGGATGCCACTTTGGGTGCATCAGCATATCGCTGGGCCCACTGTCTGGTGTCGTTGTTGGTTCTGTGCACCCAGGAATGAGTCATTGTATCCCTGGAATATGCCCGGTAAATCTGCAGGGACGTGAAGGTGCTCCAAGGGGATGGGACCAGCTGCAGTGTCTGAGGGCTGGTCATTGTTTCCGCTACCACTGGAAGAAGCACCAGGATCTTCCCTCATGCTGCCTCTAGGAAGCTCTTCTTCATCATCCTTTGTATGCCAGCGACACCAGCAAACATTACAGAAATGGCGATGACTACAACCACCAAAACCGCCAAATTTATGTGCTGCTGGAAGATCACATATGATGAGGACCAAAGCAGCCCTAACAAGTCTTCCATAGAGGTGTTTCCACGTCCTGCTGTATCAAATGCCATCATACCACAATTTGCGGAAAAAGTTGACAATGGGTAGGAAGTACAACTGAATACCATCCGATGAGGGTTCATTGGGACCAGGAATGATGCCAGCCAAAAAGAGGTTTTTGGGCTTGAATTGCTCTTCGGGAGGTAGATTGAGACAAGCGATGAACAGGGCCCCAACCGATACCTTCTTCCCTGCCATTTTATTCGATAACGGGTTGAAGCTGTCAAATCCTGCGGCAAAGATATATCGGCCTTCTCCTTCTGCACCTAAACTGAAATGTTGCCCGTCCTCCCATTTGAACTCTCGTATAAGGGAGCCATCCATTACATCTTTCAACACTGAATTTGGGCCTCGGGATTGAGTCACACCATCCCAACTAGCATCCAGCTTGCTTTCAACACCTGGATGTGACAGAAAGCCACCTAACCAGTCATGAAAGTCAAAAGATATGAATCGCTTCAATGGAACATATTGAAGCACGCCGTTTGTTGAGCAGGGCCTCAATAAAGGTGTCTTGCACACCGGAGACTGGTTATAATGACGATACTGGCAAAAGGTGTCGTATGTGGGGAAAGGAGAATCGGTGGTTGACAGATGAGGTGCATAGATATGATCACACTTTGGGCAAACAGCGTATACAGTGTACTTGCTCTCAAGCAGAAAATGATGCAGAGTGGATGGAACATCATGGGGGAACTTGCTAAGAAGGTCTTGATTGGATTGCAGCATAGAAACACCGGACTGTATGGCCACATGCTCTATCGATGCTTCAACGATGATCTTGGCCATGTCCAAAAGCCAGGAACAACCGTGTCTGGATAAGAGGAGAACAGTACTACAGGCAGCGATCATGTATCCGACCAGAATGAAGACCGGATTACTGTTCTCTAGAAGGGTCTTGTAGCAGTGTTCTGGAAAAATCAGTGTCCATCAGAATTGGTACTCCAAAGAGCTCTTCATGTCTCACTGGTATTGAGAGTATTGATGCTCGAGTTAACCCTCTTTCTTTCCCTTCGCACATAATCATACTGCGAATGGACTAGCCTGAAGGATTCAATACAGGTGTCCAGCTCAATATCTAGTCCATCAGCCATCCCTCACAAGAATTTGTACTTCTTCTGCTTTCAGAGAATGTCTACCCTTTGCTTTAGTGAAAGACATTCGTTGTTGCAGCTGTCAACAAGCATTATGATGCTCTCCAGTTCCATGTCCCGTAGCGCTGTTGGATCAGGCAAGTCCACCAGAATGGCCTTGATCTCATCGATCTGATCATGGATGGATCCATAAACATCTGCTCCCTCTAACTTTTTAGCCTTGGTAGTTGAAGGAGGCTTACGGGAAGGAGAGGGTGATTGCGGCATGAGGGTGACTTGTGAAAGAAGACTCTCTAGATGATCCTCATCCTCCTTCACCTTCGCTAGAGCAGCATCGACCATGCTCCTGGTTATGCTATGCTCATCTTTCGCAGCATGCTCTCGCCATACATTGGGCTTTAAGAGACAGCCGTACAAACCCGTTGTAATGTCGTAAAATAGATTGCACTTCTCTACGGTGCATGTACACCTGCATAATTTGCTGCAAACACCTCAGTAATATCAAAACCAAAAAATGCCAGAAAGCTTATGCCATGTCATTTGCAGTTGGTGAGCATAAGTGAGGTTGAGGAAATCGGCCACGATAGCAAGATCAGAAGACGGAACTCCATGTCGTACTGTGCCGGGCTGATAACAGCATCACTCATTATTACCAGAAATATCCACCTTACCACCTAAGTAGTTGGTGGTCTCTTCCTATTTGCTTTCCTGTTTTCCTGAACATGAATAATTCATTGGTAAAATTCAGGCTTATTTATGGCATTGAATGAATAATAGAAGTACTCGAAATGCACACAAAACAAGGGAATGGCCAGAGAAAATGGAATATTTATATCTGTACTCGCTGATGGCTCAATCAGTAATGTCAGGGGTCCTCTGTGCTTCGACTCGACTATATCTGGTGCACCACATACACGAGGGGATCATACACATAACCAAGAGATGCATCACCCCAGGAATCCACGTATTCCTCAGAAGCAGAGATAGAGATGGTCAGCAATCGTGTGCCAGTGTCAGAAGGCATGAATCCAGATTCATTGAAGAGCTATGAAAAAGCAAGTCAGAAGGTTTCTTCAACTAGCCCAACCCACTGCGGCCGCACGCACCGGAACATCAATGACATTGCTAGAAGGAACGTTACTAGGCTAGGTTGCTGCAAGGTCAGGATTTGTTTGTCAAGAGTTTCTGCATTAGAAAGAGATGCAAGGTCAGAAACTGTGCAATACATAAGTTAAAACTGTAGCAAAAAGAAAGAACCTTATAGTAGTGATCTCCTCATCGAACCTCATGTGCTCAGCCAGTTGAGCTTCAGTGCCTTCCGCATTCTTCAATGCTTCCTGGGCTGAGTCTTCTGTGGCCTTCATTTCCTCCATCTCGACAGGGTCCCAGCAAGCTGGAGTGGGTTAAACAAACCTAAACTTGAAGAACGTTTGACTGACGAGAAGAGGTGCAGCTTACTCCTGCAAGCTTGCAACCATAGGCCGCTGCTGGACTGGGTGATTGTAGCTAACTGGAGTTACTTAGAAAACGAACTGCTCACAAGAGAAGTTTGATGGCCCACCCTACCAAGAATTCACTGCTTGATAATCTTTATGAGACCATGGTTCTGCAATACATATCAGAGCCTGACATGAGAACTTGAACTAACTGAACCACCTTTTGACATTCCATCTCGACCAGCCATTCCTTCTCAGCTTTGCAGCATCCATCAGACTGTCATGATGTTCAGGTATGAAAGCAGAGCCCTTAACTGAACAGAATCGTACCTGAGTAAGGGTATTGGGCAGAGCATTGTGCAACTTGGTAATGTCGTCTTCCATTGGGCCATTCTGAATGACATGCTTGACCACATGAGCCTGACAAGCTGTCTTAGCCCACCTTTACTGGAGGTAAACTCTGTCACTCGTAGTGATCGGTATCGGCTCTCCTTTTGGGCTGACGTTGACATCTGAATGTGTATGAGGACGAGAGTTTGATTCCTGAAGGGAATCGCTGGACGAGTCGTCAGGTCAGCGACTTGAGATGGTGACTCTGGTGTTCAAATGGACAGTTGCTGAAGACATCTCAACACGACAAGTAATGGGTGTTAGCTTGCTTTATAATGAATCAGTAAGAGCAGGATCAGGTAGAAAAAAACAATGGACTGATGATAATCCATTATGAGGCCATCTTGTTGGCACGTCCATATGCAGCAGTCTTCATTGGACAAACTCGCAGTATAGTTGGTTTGAGTGATTACCAGACTTCCTCAATGGAAACAAAAGAGATGTGACCTGGTACTGTTTTTTTTTCGGGCAGTGGGGAGAAGAACAGTGTCCAGGACTGGCATGGTACCAGTCACGGTAGCGGCAACCATCAATTCTGAGCTGCTCTTGCCCATGGAATATCGGGAAGAGTTCTCAACATTCACCGTTCGAGTATCGTTCGGTTCGATGTCACCTTTTGATCCATGCAGCATGCGATGACCCTCATATCTGTCAGGATCAAAAATCATTAGAAGCTCAATTCCTCTATCCATCCAGGACATGGGAACACACCAGCATAACTCTTCGTCCTCTCTTACGGTCCATCCCCATCTTTGATTCCTTCAGTATTCAGGAATCCACTGCAATCTTCCTCGATCTCAGTAAGGGCCTCAAGCCGGAGGCATGATGACTTGCCTCAGTCCAAAGTATGCATCAAATCCAATGAGAATTTGGGAGAATAATGACAACAGTATTTAGCAAGAGTGCTGAATTTCAGTGGACGCCGGTGACAAGAGAAGAAAACCATGGGAACGATTTCCCTTGGCTACATTTGGTGTCTAAAATCCTTGACTCCGCTAAATCCATGGCTCGGGGAGATAAGAACTTTGATGCCCGCTACGACTTGCGTTTGCCCCTGGCTTGACTTGCCCCGTCCAGCCTGAGCAGTAACTGTGCCTTTAAACTTGCACCAATTTGATATCAGTATTTACGGTATATGTCTGTCGCAGTGCTAACCCATGACTAGCCATCCCAATAAAATTCACCCTGCCAGCGGCTTAAGATGGTGTGAGTATTATATTTGATACTATTTATTAATTTGTTCAACCTAGTATCTTACAGTCTCTCAGACATCATCCCCTGGAATGCATCCCATGGCCAAGTCGCTGGCCTAACCAAACTTGGGTGATGAATCTGCATCTGGCATGGGCTGCTTTCTTGCACTGGCCTTCGTCTACACATTTTGTCAGCCAAGGGCATGTCATGAAGGCAGACGATATACCAGCTTGTCCGACTTATCTTTGTCTTTGACCACACAACATTATAATGCAATGTTGGATATTCTGTGGTCGTAGTTGAGCTGAGAGGTCTTGCATTGGTGGAATCAGATATGGTGCTGTCCCTCCTGAGTTTTGTCCTATTTCTCCAGAATTGAAAACCTTGTAGGACAATATTCCAGTTATTCCAGTCCAAGTGGGTCCAACTTTTTTGATGTGTCGCCGGCAACTCGCTTTACTGGTAGATGCACAAGTGAGGAGCGAGTTCTCCCTGCTGTACATTGTAGCATCCAAAGCACAGAGATTGTGGAGGGCGAGGGAATGGGAGATTGCGAGTAGCTAGTAGTAATGCAGATGATGGATAGTATGAGAGAGTGCTGCGTTACTATGAGCCTTTGTGAGTGTTTGTGACATATCAGGCAAGCCACTGAACATCATTCCTCCCTTTCAGTCACCATTTAACTTCTTTAATCTTTCTACCCCAACCACCTACCACTTTCCGTCCACCTTTCAGGCCTTGATCTTCCTCACTCCTGAACGTTTGAATGATCATTAGTACTGTACAAACCCAATGCTACATTCAAAGAGCCTGCCCTCTGATAATCAATCCAGTTCTTTCGCATCATTGATATTACCCACCTGGTTCAGTTCACCACCTGCAGCTTCACCCTCAATGGAACCTCAACCTGATGACCTGTCAACATCCCAACCCAGTGATTGACCAGTTCGTTCTGAGGCTAATATGGGCCCAGATCTAGCTTCAAGTACCACCTTGAAGCCCGTCTTGCTATCTGAGTCTGCTCTGACAGAGGAACTGCCACCACCAACTAGCTTACCAGGTGGAGAGATGGTTGCAGCAGTGCTGCATGTATGTCACGTACCTGTATTGCAGGGGGTCTCTTTGGGCTAACAGATCTTAACAAAGGTCGCGTCGCAAGTAGACATGGTTCTACAGAATCCTCAAAACCTTCAGAACCCTCAGCCCACCATGTTTCCGCCGCAATCAGACATGGTTTTACAGACACCACCAGACATTCAGCAACCTGTTCAGCAGCCTGTTCAACAGACCATATTTCCGTCGCAATCAGAGGCGTTCTTCAGGAATAAGCAAAATTTCTCTATCAATTTTACCAGTGCATATCAGGCAACGGAATCGACTGATACCTCATCCACGTCCTGGGCTGGTAAAACAGTATGTGAGAACTACCAGCACTTTCATTCCTGACACTAAAGTATATTTTTCCCTTTAGGGTGGTAAAAGACCTCTTCGAGGCTCTGGAGAATCTCCATCAAAGGTTTGCAAGCATATTCACTCCGTCTTGTTGAATCAGCTGATGTTTTTACAGTACATCACTGTGGCAAAGCACCGGGATCAAGATCTACATATGGAAGTGTTAGAAAAAGCACATGTGGAACAGCTTTCTCGAGAAATCAACTCTGTACAGTGTATGCTTCAGATAATGGCCAGTAGTACTGAATACATTCTAGCTTCACGCCAACAATGAAGGCCAAGAACGAACCATTGCAAATAACAAAGCAGAGCTTGAATATATGGTATGACTCACTGCATTTTCTGTCTCTGCTGCATCCACTCAATGTTATCTAGCTGACACAGCTGTCAAAAGTCTGTGAATCTTGTTCATAAGGAATTCCTGCCAGCGTTACTGAGCCCTTCTAGGTTATGAGCACTGTGAAAGAGCAGGCCACTGATCTATGTTCTCAGGATGAGGAAATCACCAAAAAGGTAAGCACCACTGTTTCGACTCTGCTCATTGCTCAAAGTAACCTCCAATCCGTTTAGAATGAAGCCATCAATGAGCTACAGACTAAGGTGAACACAGTACATCTATCTCCACAGAATTGGTATATCATCTACTTACCGCATTGTGCAGCTTCAAGAAGAACTCACTAATTGTCAGCGCAAACACCTCAAGTACACCCAGTGGTACGATACCAATGCAACGCAAGGAAGACAGGAGATAAAGAATTTGAAAAATGAGCTCACCAATTTACAGCATCAATTAGCTGATGCCAAGGTTGGTCAAATAATCCCTAATTTTCTATGGCCTTCTTCCTAAACTTGTTCCACAAGGGGCGTGAATCTGACACAACTCCCTTGGAGGCCGAGAGGTTGCGTTTGGAAGGTGTATTGGCCAATACCAAGGCTCAGCATGACACGGAGATGCACAGATTGCGTGCAGCTACCCAGGCCGATGTTGCCAGTGCGAATGCTCACATGGAAGGTGCTGAACGACAAGCTAGGGCAGCAGAAGAGAAGGCTAAACAGCCACCCTGTCTGCTACACCATGAGATATGAATGCCTCGCCTCATTTTCTGCCTTTATTGACATTTTCGGGATGCATAGAACGTGACCCCCCTCCTGCCAAATCCAACATTAAACCCCATGGCTCAAGCAAGTTGTTTACACTGCAATCTCTTACTCCTGGGCACTGATCTTCTTATAGGATATTTCGACTACCTGCCCAACTGTCTACAATGAAACTGGCACTGCCATGACTTTCTCAAATGCCTCTGCAAACTCTATGACAACCCAATTTGGCATTTCTACTTCAGACCATGAGCTACATCGTCCACAGCACCTTGCCACACCAACTTCCAGACTGCCGCATGTCACAAATGGCTTTGAAACCACCCCTAGGACAGATTCTCCTTTGACCAGAACCTTCAGCCATCAGCTGAATCCTTCCACAATATCTAGTTTTGCAACTCAACCGAGGTTTTTTGTAGCAGAACCAGGTACTGTGTTTGCTCAGCAGCCAGGAAATGGCCCTGTGGCATCATCCCAGCAAAGCAGTGAGTTTGGTTGAGCCCTACCTCTGTCAGGTCAGCAGACCTAATCCACATCGGGTTTCACTCTTCAGTCCCAACAGCCAACAGCCTTCAGTCAGCAGGCCCAACTAGCGTCGACGTTTCCCCTCCAGCCCCAACCATCACCAGGTTTTGGTCTGCAGTCCCAAGCAGCAGGATCTACTCCCCTGCAACCATCAGGTTTTGGCCAGCAGCCATTGGGCTTTGATCAAAATGCTCAGCCACAGCAGTCATCAGGTTTCAATCCGCATGCTCAGTCTTCGCCGGGCTTTCACCAACAGGCTTCATCTGGTGTCAGTTTTACCCCCCAGGCCCAACAGTTTGCAGGTTTTGATCAGCCATCTCATCTAGCATCAGGTTTTGACCAGCCTTTCTCAGGCTTTGTCTCCCATGCCCAACAACCATCTTTCAGCCAGCAGTCCCAACTAATGCCAGGTCTTGCTCCTCAGCATCAACAGTCATCGGGTTTCGGTCAGCAGCCCCAACCACTGTCGGGCTTTGCTCCCCATGTCCAACAGCCATTTTTCGGTCATCAGCCCCAACCAATGTCAGGCTTCGCTCCTCAGCTCCAACAGACATCAGGTTCTAATCAGCAAGCTCTGCCTCCTGTGTTTGCTCAGCCATCGGGTTTCGGCCAACAAACCCAACAGACATCAGGTTCTAGTCAGCAAGCTCCACCTCCTTCCACGTTTGCTTCTCAACCATCGAGTTTCGGTCACCAAGCTCAACTGCCATCAGGTTCTAGCCAACATCAATCTGTATGACAACCTACTCCTTCCTCCAGTTCTAACATCTTCCCACAACATTTTGTGGGCTCTCCCCAGTCTTTTCCTTCAGGGGAGGTGTTCGATGGCCAGCACCTCCCTTGAATACACCTCATCCAGGCCATAAAGACAGTGACTGTGAAATGGACACTCTCAGGTGAGGAAGGGGATTCTGAGTCAGAAGGTTCTATCATAAGAAAGGGGGAACAGAAGATGTTCTCTAAGAAGAAGAATGGGTGAGAATCTGAACTGGGCGCAGGAAGAAGCCGCCGTCCTGAAGAGAACGAACTTATGGTGAGCATTGACTCTGCTCAAACAGTCTTTTGTTGCTCACCAATGTTTCCAGAGTAAAATACGCTCTCGAACACAGAAGTTGCTCTCCATCGACAAGGACGACAATGTCTACAAGGCGATTGAGACTGGCCATTTGACAACCCTTGAACTAGCAGATGCATTTGATCGCGGCAAATATATGCTGGAGCCATCTCTTGATCCATTCTGCCCATGCTGGGACAGCCCAAAGCACTCCTGGAATGTGTAACGAGCATGCTGACAGAAACCCAATGATGAGCCTAAACTTCCGTGGCAACAGCAAAAAACAAAACTCTAGAGGAGTTCACGGCAAATGGCGTGTAGCAGCAATAAAGGCTTTGTTGTTGTGCGAGTGTTTCGGTGCACCTCCATGCAATGAATTCCTCAAGAACACAAGTATACACTGCGACTTTTCAGTCAGCAAAGTAGTACCCTTAACGATCAAGTACTAGAAAACGTTGGCTGTAAGCCGGGAAGGGTCTCGATAGACGAGAAGGAACAGAATCTGGTATAACTGGGAATACCGGCAAACCGTGAATGAAGTGATGGCAATTTAACTAGTAAAAGCCATGGGCGATGTTGACAAAATTAGAGAAAATGCCGTCAAAGAGCAATACCGTTGGCAAGATAACAAATACCGTGATGGCAAGAGATGAAGACTGTAGTCGAGAAACGAGAAACTGGCGGTAAAACGAAGATAAGACAAACTGGCGATGATATGAGGGGGAACTAGTGATGGCAAAACGATGGCTGGGACTGGGCTGGACTGAAACTGAAACTATACTGAGGTTAATGATGGCAAAATGAAACTGATACTAATCCTGAGTCTACACGGAGACTATCCTATACTGAAACTGACAGCAAGATACCAAATACCATGACTGATGATCCTATACTGAAGCTGTTGACTGAAATTCCATGACAGATGCTACTGGTGGCAATAACGATCCTAATCTGAGTCCACATGGGGACGTAACGATCCTGAACTGAACTGGGTAAAACGATGGCAACGTAGAAGGTGAAAACTGATGAAAACGATCCTGGCTGGTGAAAGTGGAACAATGCTGGTGGATTAAAAGATAAAAGCGAGTTGTGGACACCAAATTCCGTGTATTGGCGCAATATGAGTGTACACCAATACCGTTAGAAGAAAAGCCGTGACAGAGAGTATGACTTGGAGTGACTATGTTGTTATTGTCTATCTCCTAGTGAGTACAAGTGATAACGGTGGTCGATAACGCAGATGATGGCTAGTGTCCAGTAACTTCCGTCTAGCAACTACTTATTTTCCATGGTGTATACTAGCTTTTATACTACAAGTCCAGAATAAATTTAGAATACTTGAAGCGAGTCCTTAGTAAGTCTGTAGTACATAGATTAGTAAGAAATGATACAAAACACATGCTCCCAGAGTTCTAAAGTAACAGCACCCACACGGTTTTACTGTGTGCTGTGGTTTGAAAGTAACAGCACCCATATGGATTTACCGCATATAGATGAAGTGATTAGCAAGAATGCCACCGATCTCCAGAATTTTGAGCTGCTGTGTTGCTGCAGCAAAGTACATTGAAGCAAGTGTACTGAAGTAGATGCTTGCAGCAATCTCTTGGCAGTATAACAGCCTTAGTAAAGACTGAGGAAAGGTCACAGCATTAGAGCTAATGCCACGGAATTGCTATTTGAGCTGTGGAATTGCGGCTGTGCTAGGCAATCAGATGGGATTCTAAATCCGTGAGATCGACAATCAGGTGCCTGGCAGAATTAATGAAAGAAGACTGGCAGAATTAATGAAAGGGGCACGTAATTGATGTGGGGTACAAGTGGGGAAGGATAATTGGTGGCATTAAGCACTATTGCCAGGATTGAAACAGTAGGTTTGTGTGGTGGCTGGGGAATTAAATATCTGGTAAAATGCGCAAATTCTGAGCGTACAGAGCCTGGAGGCTCATCATCGGGAGTAGGGGCAGGAGTAGCTGCAGTGGCATGACCCCGAGCAGAGGCCGCGGCTTTGCACTTGTTGCAATCTTCGGTCTTGTGCTTACCTCTGCAGAACATGCAGAGGTTATTCTTCCGATGGCGGTCCTTTTCTTCTTGAGTAAGATGGCCATCTTTGCCTAGCTTGTCAGCATAGGGCTTAGGGTTGGAAGAGGAAGAGTTGTTGGGGGAAGACAAAGATGATCCCATGGAGCCTGAATGGGAGGACTTTTGGCTCGCAGAGTTGGAGTTGGGAGATGAAGAGTTAGAACCCTTTGCCTTGTTGCTGTTGCTGGAAGAGGAAGATGGGTTACTGCAATTTTCTCGGGAGATTTCGGCTTTCCGAGTCCAGTAGCAAGCGTTGAGCTCTTGAGCAAGATTCCGCATATCACGGAGATTATCGGGTTTCCTGTGGTGGGCCATATCATCCTTGATGTGAGAGCAAAGGCCACGGTAGAAGGCATGATGAAGGGAGTTGTCGCTGTAGCCAATAATGGCAACATACTGATTGAATTTGACAATATACTTCATGATGCGGTCTCCGTCATGCATCCGAAGATTTTCAAGCTCATCTTTGGCATCACCGACAGCGTCGAAGGGGCCGAAGTTGGTGTGGAGTTCTGAAAGGAATGCGGTATAGGAATATGCCCAAGCAGGGGGGTTGCGGTGATTAGGGTGGAGGATATCCGGTTCGAACCAGTCAAGGGCGACACCGGAAAGGAAGGAGATAGCATAGTTGACCTTTGCCGTATCTGATCAGAAGGCGTCAGGACGGTCGTTGAAGTTCAACTGGAGGGAGACGATGAAGGCCTTAAGTTTTCGGGAGTCCGAACCGTCAAAGGTATCTGGTTCCTTGACCTTGGTGCGTACAGCACGTTGTCAATTGCCATTGACAGCATCGGAGACACTGCGGAGGACATTCATAAGTTGAATGAGGATCTGGGCATCATTATTGGGAGGATTAGGATTGTTACCAGGATTGTTGTTAGGTCCTCCTCCAGGACCACCAGGACCACCAGGATTGGGTGGGCCACCGCCAGGGTTTCCCGATGGGCATCTGTGGCCATTCATTGGCGTATGAGGGGGGAATTCCCTGTCTTCTGAACCTTGGTCATCATCATCATGACGGACATCATCGAACAGAGATGTAGTTGGATTCTGCGGGGGGTCGCTTCAATACTCGCCCCAGCCATTGGATTCTGATCGCTGGGCTAGGAAGGGGTTAGGCGATCAGTTAGCGTCGGATTGGTGAGCAGTGAAGCCACTGTGAAGGTAGGTTTCCCTACGGGATTGTTGGCGAGGGGAGGAATCCAATCTGAAGAGAAGGGGACCCTCTTTTGAAGCAGAGGCGGGGATATCGTCCATGGTATAGGTTCAGTTGTTGACTGTGGAGTTGCAGCTGGTTTCTGGAGGAACAGTGAAAGTAGAAGACATGGTTAGGAAGAAATTTCGACTCAAGGGTTTGAGTTCGAATATACTGTTAGGATCGTGCCAATAGGATTGCGGCAGTAAGTGCACGTAGCGAAATGCCATGGGATGCATCGGGCATAGGCAAAGCTATTAGCAACGTCACCCCTGAGCTGAAGCCCTAAGATGGATACGGATGGAAGTCCATGGAGTGGCAGAGACAAGGCAAGAGATAAGTCCAACGGATCGGAGTTCCATGGACTGGAGAACGAGAGTGTGACTTAAGAGTCAGAGAGAGAGATTGGGCTGAACCAAGTTGATATTCGAACTGAGTATTTACAGGGTAATTCTAAGGCTTATATACTAGTTAGGAGTCTGATCTAGTTCCTACTCGGAGTGGTCTACATTCTAGGGTTGTTGGAGGATGTATTCTACCGGTCAGTAGCTGATGGGGTCTGATGACATGTTTGCTACCGATGTTGGGCTATTGATAAATTGTAATGGAGAAGTGAAATATAAAATGGAATATGAAATAGAAAGTGGGAATTGGAATCCATAGGATTCCAGGCTGTGGTTTGTTGGGTTGAGTGGAAGTCGGTGATGAGCCTCCAGGCTCTGTATGCTCAGAATTCGTGGATTTTACCAGATATTTAATTCCCCAGCCACCACACAAACCTACTGTTTCAATCCTGGCAATAGTGCTTAATGCCACCAATTATCCTTCCCCACTTGTACCCCACATCAATTACGTGCCCCTTTCATTAATTCTGCCAGTCTTCTTTCATTAATTCTGCCAGGCACCTGATTGTCGATCTCACGGATTTAGAATCCCATCTGATTGCCTAGCACAGCCGCAATTCCACAGCTCAAATAGCAATTCCGTGGCATTAGCTCTAATGCTGTGACCTTTCCTCAGTCTTTACTAAGGCTGTTATACTGCCAAGAGATTGCTGCAAGCATCTACTTCAGTACACTTGCTTCAATGTACTTTGCTGCAGCAACACAGCAGCTCAAAATTCTGGAGATCGGTGGCATTCTTGCTAATCACTTCATCTATATGCGGTAAATCCATATGGGTGCTGTTACTTTCAAACCACAGCACACAGTAAAACCGTGTGGGTGCTGTTACTTTAGAACTCTGGGAGCATGTGTTTTGTATCATTTCTTACTAATCTATGTACTACAGACTTACTAAGGACTCGCTTCAAGTATTCTAAATTTATTCTGGACTTGTAGTATAAAAGCTAGTATACACCATGGAAAATAAGTAGTTGCTAGACGGAAGTTACTGGACACTAGCCATCATCTGCGTTATCGACCACCGTTATCACTTGTACTCACTAGGAGATAGACAATAACAACATAGTCACTCCAAGTCATACTCTCTGTCACGGCTTTTCTTCTAACGGTATTGGTGTACACTCATATTGCGCCAATACACGGAATTTGGTGTCCACAACTCGCTTTTATCTTTTAATCCACCAGCATTGTTCCACTTTCACCAGCCAGGATCGTTTTCATCAGTTTTCACCTTCTACGTTGCCATCGTTTTACCCAGTTCAGTTCAGGATCGTTACGTCCCCATGTGGACTCAGATTAGGATCGTTATTGCCACCAGTAGCATCTGTCATGGAATTTCAGTCAACAGCTTCAGTATAGGATCATCAGTCATGGTATTTGGTATCTTGCTGTCAGTTTCAGTATAGGATAGTCTCCGTGTAGACTCAGGATTAGTATCAGTTTCATTTTGCCATCATTAACCTCAGTATAGTTTCAGTTTCAGTCCAGCCCAGTCCCAGCCATCGTTTTGCCATCACTAGTTCCCCCTCATATCATCGCCAGTTTGTC